AAAAAAAAAAAAAAAAAAAAAAAAAAAAAAAACACCACCAAATCACCCCCTTCGAATCTTCGACCACTTTTCGTTCCACCAGAAGGGCAAAGTACCAGTAACTCTACCATTGGAGTTAACCCTTCAATCATTGGTCTTAGGTGGAATCATTGCCCGATTTAACTTTCACTATCATTCGTTCTCGTCCCCATCCTTGTGACCTTCACGAGGGGACAGACCACCGATCTAGAGGTCGTCTGTCGAGTCGGTGGTTCATCAGAGACTGGTTGGATGTCACATCTGTGATATTGTGTGTGTGTCTGTGTTTAGCTCTCGGGCTTACACGCAGCTGGGGACCTAATCTTCAACTGCCTTTTCCGTCATCCATGCCGTCATTCCCTGCTCCTTCTCATCCATCCTCGTGCTCTCCTCATTGGCCTCTCTCGTTCGGCTTGGGATCTAGTTGTCCACTCTTGATGCTTTGTTACACAACTACCCACACCGTGTGCGGCTGTGGGTATTGTTCCTCTCTATGATCACTTGCCTGTATCCCCCCGTTATTGGTGCATCTGATTTTCTAGATCGTACCAGTTGCTTGGATTCCTTACATACAAGCCGTTGTCTGGTCCGTGCGCTAAGATAGTGATGAGTAGGTTGTCATCGTCGACGATCCGCCGAGCTGATCCAGTCCAAATTTTCTTTGGGGCATACGGCGCAGCAGGGGGCACAACTACCTTGCTTGGAAGATGCTTCTTTGTCTTGTGCGTATCTTGCTATGATCGTTGATGTTCCCTGTTGCCATGAAGCAGGCTGACACTGTCGGACGTTATTAAAGACATTAAATTACTTGTGAATCTGCACCTGAAAGGTCCTTGAGGCTCAGAACTTCCCTGAGTTTTATATGCGATGTCCTTGGCGGATGTCCCTTGGAATCATCCCGGTCTTTTGAATCACCCTCTCCCTGCTAGGCAAAGCTCCACAACCAACTTATATCACCACCACTCTCCCCATTCATCAGCCTTTTTCGACCCCGGGTATTCTCATCCACCAAGTGCCGTGTATCCTGGAAATTCCGCTTTCTTCAACATGAACACCCTCTCCACAGAAGAAATGGAGCGGTTCCAGAAACTGTCCAACGAGTTTGAACCGGACATCCAGGTAAGTCCTGCGGAGCCCCAAACTGACCATGCAGCGTAACTAACGCCAAATCAAGGGCCCTCTAGTGTCAACAAAACAACCAAGCACTGCTATCGCCATGGATTATGCGAGTGCTGATCCTACTTTTGTCGCAAAAACTAGCGTATGTGACTACGCCTTGGGGTTCCTACGGAGCTACAGAATGCTAAACATCCCAACCATAGGCGCTTGCAGTAACCCACCCATTCTCCCGTATTATGAAAGGGGATGGCAACTGTGGCTGGAGAGGTGATGATTCTCGCCTTTGAGATCTCGTACCACGCTGACTCACTTGATATAGCTGTCGCATTCGGATATTTCGAGAATCTTTTCAACCTGCGCGACCCGCTCCGACTGCGCCATGAGCTGGACCGGATCAAGTCGTTGAATTCGCTCCTTGATCAGGTCGGCCAGGAGGAAGCATTATATGAAATTTTCGTGGATGCGACAGAAGAGCTCTTTAATCAAATATCAGACGCGATACAGAACGGCATCCGCGATGATTCCTTTCTCGTAGACGCTTTCAACAACGAATACAATTCGAGTGCCATCATAACGCATTTCAGGGTCAGTAGCAACCCTTACGTGCTGTCCTGTTTCCTCCCTTATGGAAACCAGGCGCTCGGAGTTTGTTTGGCCAACGATGATTGACTTTTGCAAACACAATAGCTTCTGACAAGTGCATGGATGAAACTCAACCCTCACCGTTACCAAGCTTTTCTCTCGCTGCCCCTGGAGCAGTATTGCGCAACCCGAATCGACACGGTCAGGACGGAGATTGACGAAGTCGGCCTCCAAGCTTTGGTTGACGGTGTGATCGAGCGAGCTGGGTTCGCGGTTGAGATCTTATACCTCGACCGCAGCGAAGGCGATGCAGTGACTCCTCACATGTTGACTCCCTCCCGGCCAAACGTTGTGACCATTCGTCTACTATATCGCCCGTGAGTAGAAGCTTTGATGATGACCCTTTTCAAGGCTCACCAAATGCGCTAATCTCTTATACAGGGGCCACTATGATTTGCTCTACCAAGCTGATCCTACTGTGAATATGGAGCCTGTGGTCAATTATCAATACGCGATGACCTCTAACTACACCCCCTGGGACCAAGGTGCGCTCTCATTCGACGTGAATTCGAGTCTGATGTCAATCCCGAATCTCATGATGGATCCAACTTTTGGGCTTGGTCCTCCTCCGATCCCTGCCGCACCGGCCAGTCCGTTCGAAATCTCGTCGGCTCCAGATGTCTATCAACCTCCCATGCACACCTCGCCGCCTGTCCCTGTGGCATCTCCCCCACCTCCTCGGATGTCAGCACCTCCACCGATGAGCTCTTTACCCAGCCGCTCGTCCGACGGGCCACAGATTCGGCTAAATCCGCTGGTTATGAAACCTAATCTAAGCCATTCTCTTCCGGTCACGACGCCATTTAAAAAGTATGTCCGCTCCGTTGCAGACCTGTAAATGACCAGCACTAATATTTGGGTAGCTCTCCCTATAATCAAGCTCATTTCCAGAACCAAGACTTTGAGCCAATTCATTGGGAACCTAGTGAATCTCGCAAATGATTCTCGATTATGTTCCTAATTCTGATACTTCAATACCCCAAATTCGGGTCGCTACGGAGCATCACGTCCAAATCTTTCTCTCTTATGATTAGCAATCAATAACCTCATACTACGCTCGTTGACTAGCTCCTAGGCTCTCTGAGCAGCGCTCTTTCAAGGGAAGGATGCTATTATCGCCACTCTCTCGGCGGAGGATCTTTGGACTGTGTCATTTGCTTTCGGTACAATCGAGAGTTCACACCTCCACTCGCTTCCTTGTCTCTTTTCTTCATCTATTGATCTGTCTGTAAGTCTGTTGCTTAGCGTCTGTCTTACGCGTTGCATGGGTATAAGCGTGATTTTCAAGTTTTGCGTTTCAGATCATTACAACAGATATTATCTGGGTGGAGGCTATTTAATAAAATCTGCCTCTTTAATGAACGAAATCGCTCCTGCCCTCATGTTTGACGAGGTGGGCTTCTACCAACATGGATGACCTTTCCACTTCTGAACCAAATTGGAGTTTTCCAGGTTGTAATTGCTCCAAGACAGTAAATTGGTGCATCTCTTCAGAGTGAACTCTTAATGGGATCAGGTGAAATATTCTTCACTTGTCCTAGGCGTAAACTTCAGATGCACCACATGAGGTTTCTGCAGCTGGACTTACCTAACCTTGCTGGTCTCCATCTTGTTAGGTTTTCCAAGTATTAAGCTTTCCATTCCAGTATATCCTCAGGACTCGGGCCATAATTTGCTTTTCCCGTAAAGCATATACAAGTGTAAGGGAAACCATAAACTCATTCCTTCTTACCTCCGATATTACAAAGTACAATGCGGAGGGAATTCAGGAGCAATTCGGTAGCAAATCTTAAATTAAATACAGCTTTGAGATTCGCGATGATAAGATTTCTGGGATCTTCCAGATACAACTAGGGTGTTGGAGGTGGCCCAAGGGGATCCGAGATTACGATATACTCCCAAGGCTGTATAAGAGGGAACTAGGATGTTGTGCTTGCCCAAGTCACGAATTATAGAACGTGTTGAAGATCTACAGATGACGATGGAAGGAATCCAATATCTAAGGAGTCTTTGACACCAGAGTTCAATTGCGTGAGAATAACATACTCTTAAACATCATTGGGTATGCAAGTTTAGATATTTGAAAGAATCAGACATGTAGTTATAAGAATATGGTAGCATCGGGGACTCCGACGCGCGATTCTAGACGTCGGGCGATTTGCTTCTAGTTGGCCCACATCTTTGTTTGAAAAGGTAAGTAGGTTTCCGGGGACCAAATTTCCATCCATTTGGTTTAGATGGATATTACAATTGTACGTATGAGCTTGTCCAATAGGGTCATGCTCAGAAATATTGCACATGTGGGAAGTTCTACTGTACTGTATTGTTCTTGAGTGTATTACAATACTGATACGGACCCACGTACATTACGGACCCGCACAGAGTGGACACTAATTAGAGTTTCGACTCCAGTCTTTGATCTGAACTGACTCAGCCACTCTTCGGACCGCAGATAAAACGGTTCAATCCCACCCTACCTTCTTCCTTTTCAACCTCATCACCTTTGTCCTGCACGAAGGACTGAAACCGCCTTTTTCTCTCTTTTTGGCAAGACCCCACGGGCCTGAGAGAGGCCCGTCCGCGCAATACAATCATGTCCACCGCAGTGTCTTCCGCCGTGGCATGTATTCAGCTCGCAGCAGTCTTCTACTACCAGCCGCAGCAACAGTAGTTACGATTCCCATCAAAACCACCTTCATCCCGCAGACCTCTATTTGCAATCTTACGATCCGCTCTACCACCCCAACCCCCTTTCCTACTCTCCGCAGTCGTCCCTAGAATCACAAATCAACCCATCCGGTGATGAGTTCACTGGCCTCGAATCCTGGGATACTTGGGCTACGCTCGATGCCAGTTATTATCAGCCATCGATAGCCAGTTCGACTGCTCTCTATCCGACACCTGTTATAGAATCACTGCCTACACCTGTCAATAATGATTTCACTTCGATCCTGGAACTTCATGACTCTCAAGAATTCCTCCAATCCCTTGATGCTGGTCTAACATGTCCTGAAGGTTCGTTCAAGATTTCTTGGATTGCTCTATATGATGTACCTAACCAACCCCAGATTACTGTCCTGAGCCCGCTACCACTTTGCCGCCTCCACCTGCAACCATGACATCGTCCCCCAGCTCATCGTCTCCTTCCAGCGAGTCTGTTCCTACTCCATCAGTTTCTGGCCCTGCAAAATCCACCAGCACCTCTCGCATTGAGAAGCGCCAGCAGAATACACTGGCTGCTCGCCGGTATCGGCAAAGGCGAGTGGATCAGCTGAAGAGTTTGGAAGAGGAACTGCGCAAAGTGAAAGAGGAGCGTGATGCACTAAAGATGCGCGTCTCTAAGTTGGAAGGTGAAACGGAAGCCCTGAGATGTCTTGCCGGACGGCAAAAGAAATAGTGACCTATCGCTCTATGCTCTATACTTCTGGATATGTAGATTAGTGACATTATAATTGAGAGGGATCTTGCCGTCATAGTTCGTCCATTTAGTGCCCCCTTCACCGTAGGAAATAATTAATACCTGTAAGGATTACAGGGTAAGCAAACTAGATCATCCAAGCATGGCAGTGCAAAACAGTGAGAAAATTGTATGTGGGGCTCTGACGATGTCGACAGATAAATTTAATCCTTCATGTGTAGGATATAGAATCTTTCAGAGATGGATTTCTTCTTCATGCCCGTAGAAATTGTGGAGTAACAAACGGAGGGCAATTAAAGTGGATTCAAACTGACCCTATCAATCAAGGTTCCGTGGATCGTCCGGAGGGGTAACAAATATCATACTCGGTATCTGTATGACATTTCAGTACCGTATGGGGTATCAGTGATATACACTTGCCATCAATGTTTTAACCCATCTTGTCAATAAATTGGATTCAATTAAGATAACTCCTTTTTCCAGTATAGTGTATTTTATCTTCTACTTTATAAAATCCCTACACCTTTTTATACTAGAAAGTCACTATCATATCATGCGTGTATGATGCTCCCTGTATCAAAACTGTATGCAAGTTGCATACAGTATGATTACAGCCGCCATCATTCACTAGTAATAATGAGCGAGAATGACTCATGAAGACAGGCTCCGATTGGACAAACAGACCCATATTCAGGGTCGATTGTTGTACGCGGGTCCGCCAACCTGATGACCTTTTTTTAGCCTTCCTTCGGGAACAAGTGATTATGCACCTGGAGGATATTTGCCAAGGGATTAAGTTCAATATGAAGTTATCAATGGGTTACTAATATTCGCAAGTTGAATGAACGTCATGTCATGTGATATTATCTGGACATGACTGAGATATAGTGATGAGAAACCCAGTGTCAGAATGACCTGCTCATTCTGCCAAGTTCACTTTATCGAGCTATTGTATGTGACTTGATCGAGAAAGCGAATGAGGGACCTCGCTGACTCATTGATGCTTGAGTTTGGAATCCAAAAGCCCATCAAACGGCAAACTAAACAATGTGCATGCATATCATCACTGAGATGAAGGTCGATTGTATATCGACGTCAACCTGCTTTGTCGACTGGCAAGTCAAAGTATGCAATGGACTTAACAACACTATTCATAATAAGAATCGTCTAAAGGAAATCACTCTATAGTTGGTCTTTACCACCCTGCTTTACAGAGCTATGCGTCGCAGCATAATCACCAAGCAGACTTTGGAGGACAAGGTCCTCCAATACTAATCTCCTTCACCACAAGTCTCTTTGACGTCTACCAAAACTTTCTGACATCGGGCTATGGCCGACCGGACCGTCCCATCTTCCCGATGGCTCGTTGAATACACCCAAATCAGTGACAAGGGATCCTTCCCCTCGTCGATGGGAATTTTAAACTCTTTTTGAAAGCTTATGTTACACTGTGTGTCTTCAATGACTCCAATAGTTTGATCTACAGCCTGTACAACAAAGGTAGATATCCAACTTCAGACATCCCGATGATGAGCGGGTCGGAATTCCGCCGTCTTGAGTGGCCGAAGCAGCCGAGAGAAGGAGATCGGCATCTAACCTTTCCCCGCATTTTAGCATCTCATGATGTCGTCCGCCGTTTGCTTAATGTACTCATTGGTCGGAACACTGCCCTCCGTTGCCCTTATAGAGGATATTCAGACTGCAACGGAGCACTGTCGTGCGATCAACCTCACTCACCCCTCGGAGGTCGACCGAAAACAGTCGAGAGAACTGATGTATATAGAGCGCTGTGGTGTCTACCGCGCTACTTCGTTATGTGATACTATACAATGCGCTGAATCGCAGAAATGGAATCAACGGTTATAGACCATCGCCCTGGAGGGGGCTTTGCCCTCATCTACCAGAATCCCTATTTACTGGGTGTCGCTTCGGTGAGCGCATACAAGTATGGCTATTTGCAATGGCGACTGACCGTGATACCGGCTGCAGTTCTCAACTCTGGGAGGACTCCTCTTCGGATATGATCAGGGCGTGGTGTCGGGGGTCATCACAATGGAGTCCTTTGGAGCTCGATTTCCTCGAATATACACCGACAGTGGCTTCAAAGGATGGTTTGTGTCGACACTACTCCTCGGTATGCGTTCCCAATCTCATCTCTTGCTTCCGAACAGAGGATAGCTTACATAGTATAGCTGCATGGTTCGGATCCCTAATCAACGGTCCAATCGCCGATCGACTTGGCCGGAAACTCTCCATGAATGTCGCCGTCGTTATCTTCGTGATAGGATCAGCTATTCAATGCGGTGCCGTGAACATCCCAATGCTCTTCGTCGGTACGTGGCATGCACACATAGAGCCTTCAACAATACTGAAACCAGCATAGGGCGTGCAATTGCCGGTCTGGCCGTTGGCCAACTAACCATGATCGTGCCCCTCTACATCTCAGAGGTATAGCACCTCAACTCACACCGCAATATACCCCAAAGTCTCACCCCGTCCAGGTCTCCATCCCCGAAATCCGCGGTGGGCTCGTCGTCCTCCAACAACGTAAGCCCATACCCCCCAAACACAAACCACCAGCATACTAACAACCCCAAAAACAGTCTCAATAACAATCGGCATCCTAATCAGCTACTGGATCGACTACGGCACGAACTACATAGGTGGCACGCGCTGTGCCCCCAACACCCCCTACACAGGCCCCGTAAAGACCACACCCACCTTCAACCCCTACACAGACGTCCCGCCCGGCGGCTGCACAGGACAATCCGAAGCCTCTTGGCGCCTCCCATTCGCTCTCCAAATCCTCCCAGCCCTCATCCTAGGCCTCGGCATAATCTTCTTCCCCGACTCCCCACGCTGGCTGGCGATGAAAGAACGTGACGACGAAGCCCTAACAGCGCTCTCCAAGCTCCGCCGCCAGGCCAGAGACAGTCCCGCGCTGGTGAACGAGTTCCTCGAGATCAAGGCGTCGATTATGCTAGAGAATACCTTCGCCCGGGACCATTTCCCGAACTTGTCTGGTCTCCGGCTGCATGCTGCGCAGTATGTGTCGTTCTTGACGACGTGGGCGCGGTTCAAGAGGTTGGCTATCGGATGCTGTGTGATGTTTTTTCAGCAGTTTATGGGGTGTAACGCTATGATTTATTACGCCCCAACGATCTTTGCGCAGTTGGGTCTGGATGGGAATACTGTATGTGATGTTTATGCTCTTGGTTTGGGTGTTCTAAACTCTTTCTGACATGACTAGACTTCTCTTCTTGCGACGGGGGTGTATGGCATCGTTAATTGTCTCAGTACTCTTCCGGCGCTTTTCTTGATTGATAAGATTGGTCGTCGGATTCTGCTCATGTCTGGTGCTGTAGGGACTTGTATCTCGCTGGTGATTGTGGGTGCGCTTATTGGGGCGTATGGATCCGATTTGGTCAACCATAAATCCGCTGGGTGGGCAGGTATTGCCTTCATTTATATTTACGATATCAACTTTTCCTACTCTTTTGGTGGGCTTGCCTTTACATGCTTCCTTTGGTATTGTGAAAGAGTCAATTGCTGACTAGGTACAATATAGCTCCCATTGGATGGGTCCTGCCCTCAGAGATCTTCAACCTTTCCATTCGTTCTAAGGCCATTTCAATCACAACGTCGGCGACTTGGATGTGTAATTTGTGCGTTGATCTAATCTTCTTCGGGAATTCCGTGTTGATCGTTGGCTGACATCGCATGCTAGTATCATTGGATTGATCACCCCCGATATGCTCGAGTCAATCACGTGGGGTACATATATCTTCTTTGCGGCATTCTGTCTCCTTGCGTTGGCATTCACTTTCTTCTGTATTCCGGAGACTCGTGGAAAGGTTTGTCGCTCATGGGCTTTACAACTGTACACCAAGATCTGTCCTGTGCTAACCGAAGCCTATTATCAGACATTGGAGGATATGGATCTTATCTTCGGGGACACAGCAGCCCACGAAGAGAAACAACGTATTGTTCAGATTGAGGCTGAGCTCCGTGGCACGCAGGGGCCCAATAAGGACACCTTAGTGAAGCCCTCCGTGCAGCAAGAAGAGTACGTTTGAGGCCCTCCCCCTCAACAAGTGCCTCGCACATAACGGTGCACGTTTTCAACATTGGCTGTCTGGAATCGGTAAACATACCACGATTATGTCGCTATAGTAATCGCGGAAGAATTTCACCTATATATATACGACACAATCGTTCCCCAGGGTATTGTCTATGGTCCTGGTGACCACCGTATCGTAACCGTCGCTAGTTCAAGGAAACTCGGCCTGTGGTGTGTAATTGACCCAATCAGAAAAGTCCATCCCGCCTAAATTCAGTTCCTGGTCGACATCTGGGAACATAGCACCGAAGGCCGGGTCATTAAACAGCTGGTCAGGAAACTGCATCAAAATAGGCGGCTGACCTGGTGGCCTGTCAGCAGTAGTGCTCGTATACGCAGGTGAGCAAAGCCGATTAATGACTTGCAGACAACGAGCCGCAAGCCGATTGCTACTCAGTGAGGGATGCAATAAGAGGTTTTTAGTAGCTTCGATGTCCTGAAGCCAAGCTGGGGCATCTGTGCTGGTAGGGTCTGTCATAAGCAAGATGATAGGGATGACACCAGCTTGAAACAGGAAGTAGAGCATATACCATGCTCCTATTCTCGTGCAGAGATAGTTGCTCATGAAATCACTGATTGAGGAGATGGTCAACCGCGCATTTCGAAGACACAGCATTCTACATTCGGCTTCAAGAGGATCTTCCGGTTCATTAGATGAACTAGGTGTCCATCGTCTCGAAGCCCAGCGAAGGAGGATCGGTCTATACAGAAGAACCCGGAGGTTCCAGTGTCGCCACATAAGCCGGTTTCGAACCAAAGCAAAAGGATCGGATTCTGATGTAAAGCTTGGCTGCTTGAAATAATCGGGAAGACCGTTGTACCATTCCTCCAACGGTTTCTGGAGACTTCGTGTCTCTTCCGGGGTAAGAGGCGGCGTGGAGATGAGGCGCTGGTAGACGCTGTTTGTGAGCAGATGGAATCTGGCCTGAGCGATCATTCCAGAGTAAATAGTTGGACCGTTAATTTCTGGGGGCAGTGTGGTCGTTGACGCGGTCAGGGCCTATGTGTCATTGTTAGAACTTTTCCATGCATAGGTCGCAAGAATCCTTACATCATCCTGGATATTGAGAACAGGCTTTGCGTCCATGACACTCTCCTCAGGAAGAAGAATTGGTCGACCGAACGTCTTCGCAGCACCGCTATCAAAGATAAAGACTCCCCACCACAATCTTCTCCTCATCTCTTTCTGAAGAAGACTTATTTTCCAGCCTGGAAATTCTTTGTGAAGACCAAGACTCATTGCCATTCTAACGGCCAATCCTAGAAAGTTCCACCCAGTATTCGGCTTGTTTCTCTTCTGCGCGTAGTTACTCAAGAGTAGCAATGCCTGAACGAGAGTAAGGTTCCCAGTTTCGAACACTGACACTTGCTGCAAGTGACCTCTGGCTTCCTGATAGAAAGTAATATCCAGGTCTGAGTTATCGTCTCCAACACTCCACGCCCCCAATGCTAAAATGGTGTTCAAGAGTATTTGCCACGCCTGCCCATGTCGGCGAGTGGCTTGTTCATAGAATTGAGCTCTGAAGGTGGACTCATGCACAAAAGGATAGCTCCGGTGGTAGTTCAAGAAGAATGCATCTATAAAAGCTTGTTCAATCACACCAGACGGCGCAGTATTCAGAAGCTGAGACTTCAGAGGTACTCCTTCCGGGCCAGCGTTTGGTTTTGCTGATCCTACCGGAAAGTTCAAGTCAAATCCGTGCTTCAATAGAGCTCGAAGCGGCACAACACTTGAAGATGCCCCTGCAAAGAAAGTCAGTAAACAAGATGATATCGAACAATTTTAACGGATACCAACCGAAATATCCTGTACCCTCCGGCTTGATGGATAGAGCTGCCATGCCATCCGTCAAATCACCGACGGTGATTTTGTTTTCAGTCCAATCAAATCCATCAGCCTGTTGCGGGAGGGCTTCCGGAGCAGGTTCCGTCCTGTCGGCTTCAGTTTTAGCAGGAGTGGAATGTCTAGAAGAAGATTTAGACGATGGAGTTGGTTTTGGGCCTTCATGATCGTGCAGAAGTGATCGAACCGTTGCGTCCAGATCACCGCCAGGGAAGAGTCTACCTAGAGCTGTTTCAAAAGCTTGTAGACGGTCTTCCACGTAGGTTAGGTGTCTGAAATGGGGCGTCAGCAAGCAGGACACACGTCTAGCAAAGGGGGGCACATACTGTCGTGTTAGGGGGCTCCGAGTAATTTTCGGACTATATTTGCATTCCTTGTTCAGCTGCCTACATTGCGCACAAATTGGCTTCTCCTTGGAGCACTGGATTCAACATTAGTTTCGACTCCATAAATTGATCCCTCCGTGTGGGAGGTATGTTCTAACCTTGGACTTGCGCAAGCGGCATTCGTCACACTGCACGATGGCCATATTAGCAACTTTACTCTCTTCTTATACATGGAGGATACTTACAGCATAGGAATGAGAATCTCGTGTACTGGTCATCTTTATCGATAAGAGTCTGCTTTCCAATATCGGAAGTCTTGTGCACGCTGACAGTTACACAAAACGGGTGGCATCTGCAAGAAACCGTTAGTATCAGCTATTATACTATATCCGGTGGTATATGTCCAAAAAAATAAACTGATAGCGTGGGATAATGTAAGGATTTGGCTTGCCATTTTGGGTGTCTGGCTAGGGTCGATTCCAATTTACAAAACTTTAATGTGTTCAGAAGGTAACATAGCAAGATTGAAAAGCATTCTGGAGAATCGATATACGAAACAAACTAGGACCAAAGCAGGGTTATGACGTTGACGGTGGTGGGGTATCCATGAGGGACGGACTTAGAAAAAAAAAAAGAGAGAGAGAGAGGGCAGAACACAGGGACAGACATGAGACGACATGGGCTCAACTCACGACAGGCATGGAAAGGAATCAATTGTTCATGTCCCTGGGACTGAACTGGAGAGAAGTCAGCGACAGATGTAAACCCCCGAACCCATATACAAGAAGAGAGGAGGGCAATATCTGGCTGATCGGATGAATGCTTCCGCATTGAAGGAATTCACGATGCTGATTGACGCTCTGGGTGATGTGGGGGAAGGCACCAGTCAGGTGACGCGTCCGTGGGTTTGCCTCTCGGAATTTCAGGAACCAACTTCGGAGACTCAAACAAGATTCCTCGAATCCTATGCAGATATTACTCCAAATTTATATACTCGGGATTGATACTAAGATAATAGGATCCACAGTGCGTATGAAATTGCATTGGAAATGCTCATGAAGGCCCATCGCTTCTCTTTTAGAGCTTGAGGTACAACTATATATACTACGGGCACTATAAATATTGGTCCATATGTTTGATAAACTACGCCGTGCCCCATATTTCTTCCCCAATGATGATACAAGTATCCACCTGCCTGAAAAATATTTCCTTAAAAAATACGATATGTGATATTTAGACAAGCACGGATATCAACTGCCTAACCTAGTATGTGAGTCTGCTGTTGGGTATATATGCTTTGAGACAATACATTAAAAGAAGCCCCAATATGTCCAATAAGCCTATACTAGACTGGTATACTATAAGAGCTCTAAAACAGGCAAATACAACAGCATATTCTAATTATACCCAGGGAGAAGTGGAAAGCAGAAGGCAAAGCATGTTGTGGACAAGATGTATACCTCAGGTGTCGTTGATCCGTGATATGAAAGTCTTGGCGTAGCGGAAAAGAAGATCAACCAATCATACAATCAGTTTGGACTTTTCTCTGATACAACGTCATTTTTTCAAATCACCACGGAAATCGTACAAAAACAGTCGAAGGCCATTGCTGCTACTGATTCACTTCTTCGTGTTTACGCCAGAATAAGCCCGCAACCCCTTGCGCCAACAGGGCGATCTCTCGACCATGCCCACCCAACCACCCCTCCCACCCCTCCTTGCGCCCTATGTATCGTCTCTGCCGCAATCGTCTCTCACAGTCTTATCCTCCGTACTAGGCGCAACGGGGAATTGGCTAGTGTTGCGCTTCCTCTACGCGGCGCTGAGTGTGCCTTCGAATTCTGAAACCGCGTTTGGAGTGAATGGAAGCGATGGGGTGAAGAATAGAAAAGTCGTGCTTGTGAGTTTTCTGCGGGGCTGGGAATTTTGGAGATCCGAAGCGAAAAGATTGGTGAGTTTCTACCCCTCCATGTATGCCATCTATTGCGGTTTTCAAGTTTAAATTGTGTGCGGCTTTATCTGGTGCTTTGAACTTCCTCAAAATACAAATTTAATTTCTTAGTACCCGGTCATGAATATTGACAATGTACTAGGGCTTGGACCTTGCACGCCTTACAGACAAGCGCCAATTTGCATTTGTTGATGGGCTATCTGAGCTATTCTACAATCCTACAACTGCCACAACAGCCCCTCAACCAACATTCCCTGGCATTGCCGCTCCCCGAACAGTCCTCCCCGTACGATCCCAGCCGAGCCCTGTATCAGCGCGAACCCCGCACCCTGTCCCGCGGCCGGGCAATGGCAGTACAAACCCAGCTTCAAGGGAAATCGGACCAGTCAAACGACTGCACCTGTCGGGGAATGGCACCGCAGCTCTCGACAATCTCGAAAGAGACATCGTTACAGTGATCAAACAATTGAAGGCTCCTACACCCGGGGAGGTAGAGGAACCCGAGGTCCTGTTGATCGTCGATCAACCAGACTTGCTGCTTGCGGCTACGGGTCCGAGCAGAGGTATTGGGGCTACGGAGATGGGAGACTGGGTTATGGGATTACAACAGGTACGTGCTAGCCACTGGAGGAGCCACCGTCACGATGCATGAATACCCCTGCTAACTAAACTAGCAGAATGCCCATGCAACGATCTTGACGCTTTCCTCCGATTCACCGTTGATACATAATGCATCTGCATCGGCTCCCCAGCCGGCAACACCGCTGGAAACCGAGCATGCAGCATTCGCTATAGGATCGGCCCACAGGGCCCAAATGGTCATGCAGCTCCGTAACCTGGAGACCGGTGCGGCTAGGGACGTAAGCGGTGTGCTAAGAGTTAGCAAAGGAGGCGCCTGGGGACAAAACGAGGTGGGTGCGGAGGGCAACTGGGAGGAGAGAGAAGTATTATACTTCATGCAGAGGGATGGAGGCGTCAGCGTGTTTGGTAGAGGGGAATAGACTGGATAGAAAGTGTCCATATATCAAATACTGGCGTTAAGGCGCATGGTGATAGAAAGGGCCCTGCAACATGACATTGCCGCAATCTCATGGCCCAACTTAACTGATCCGGCTGAAACCAGTCTATAGAGCAACAGGAAAGCTCTTACGCTGCGGAAAGTGCGTGAACACGGGTAGACAGATCACATTGGATATTATCTCAATATTGTATCTGCCTGGACATGGGATATTCGCCAGCCATAAACAAGGAAGGAAATTCATGCATGCTTTCCCTTTTGATACTCCCTATCGAAGACCCCAAGAAATTTTCCGTCTTTCATTTGTCGTCGTTATTCTAGGATAAACATGCTATGACGGCAAAAGGAAAGACCATCCCAACACCAACTCCAGGGAAAAGCGTCTTTTTTCGCCTTGCATTGAAACTCGGCTACTTCAAATGCCAGGCCTTATCATACCAGCCCTCTCCAGCCTCCGAGAACGAAAACGCGACGTCGGGATTGATTTACTGGCTCTCGGGGCCACGAGCGCCCTTGGGGGTGCCGGTCTGGAAGCCGTTCTTGAAGCGACGGTGAACCTCCTTGAGGTGCCTCATGCGGCCGGTACCGGTGGTCTTGCGGCGCTTGGCCTTCTCGCTCCAGTTGACTGTTCCAAGAAAATTCGTAAGCCTCACACTCCTCATATTCACATCACATCTCCCAGTAGATCCACGGTCGGCCATGCAAAGGGACAGGACTTAAGGTATAACTCGGGGATTCGTACACTTGCGAGTCTTAGCGGAGGGGTAACCGCAGCTGGAGCATGTCGACTTCTGGACGTGGAAAGAGCGGCGGCCTGAATATCCCAAACGCAAATCGCAATCGGTTAGCTCATCTGAACACCAACATTCCTCCCGAATTTCCTAGCTGTATCCCCTATAGAGATCGGCAAATTTTGTCGGGCAACAATTCGGAGTGATGAAATACTGACCACAACGCCTGCAGAGAGTGTGAGTCTTGTTGTGGCGCTTGCCAAAGCTGGAGGTACCCTTCGCTGTAATCGGTGTCAGTCTGCAAAGTCTTGTCGGCGTCGAAGCAAACGCTGCTGGTCGGCTGGGATATCGAGATTGTACGTACTCATCTTGAATTATGGAACTGCAGAGGAACACGATAAATGTCAGCAAAAAATATCCGTCACAAAATCCTGCGCTCCGAAATCATATGGGGGCTAGTGACCTACCTGGCGATTCCGCTGAAGGGCTGGTTGTCGTTGTCGTCGTCGCTAGGCGTATCGGAAGTTGCGCGCTGAGATCTGGGGCGCCGCCTGCCGCTTAGCGAGTGTGTGTCACCAGGGCTTGTGCCCTGGTCCCGTGATTCCGTATCCTCCAAAGGGAATCATCAATCACATGATTTACCATCGTTCTCCACCCGGGTATTTGAACTAAGCCCGACATGGTATTAGCGTCGATTTAAGGTATCCTTTCCGGGATACCTTGAGTATAGCTAGAATAGGGATGGACTTTTCAGGTCTATAACAAGACAGCAAGCTTGAATCTCACATTCTATTTACAAATATTCTTTTTCCATATTTACCACTCGATTCTTCCCGATGACCTTGAAAATAGCCATGTAAGGTAACGAATTATATTATACACTGTTTACAGGGTATTTCATCAAAAGCGCCCGGCGCCCCATATTGAACTGCTGTAAATAAATAAGTAAAATTGATCAAGACTGGGAGGGATCCATATAGTTCACTGCTCAAGGGTGTCATTCCCTATGAACTTAGCCATAGGATCATCTGCCGCGAGACGACTTTTTTTATACGATTCCAACTCCTCCTCAGTGATACCTGATTGTACTTCCATCAACGTCCTCTTTTTCGACCTGGTGCTGGAATCCTCTGTTCTTTTCTCGTCAATGCCCTGCTCTTCATTCGGACGTTCTGTTGCATCTTCGGCTTCAGCTTCAGGCTGTTCATCTGCTCCATCGTCGACATCTAGCATCAGCATCTTATCTGCTTCTTCGAATGCCCTCTTTCCATCTTCGCCGGTGCAGTAACTGTTCTTCACCGTGGAGTAACAGCAAGCATATCCCCACTCAAAGTTGTGCCACCAGCTGCCCCATACGGACGTGTGGTTGTTGGTGAGGATATCCTCCGGGTACTTTGATTTGGCGGCTTTCTTTGGCGCGCCCTTAATCGCCCCGGTCTCGTCATACTCAACGAACCTCTCGTTTTCAACAACCATGGTATCTCGTAGCGGTGTCGGAGCCAGATGCTCTTCACCGCCATATTTCTCTAAAAGTGCTTTACGCTGGGCCTGGCGTTTAGCTTCAGTATCTGCCTGTTCTTTCTTCCGCAAGATCTCTCCAGACGTCGGATTTGCTTGCAGGTGAATCTTCTGCCGACCGCTTTCCTGAGCTTCCCAGGCATATTTTTGGGCTTTCTCAAACTCCGCAGCATCGCCGGAAGCGCGAACGAAATTTTCCTCAGCAACAAGTGCTGCGGCTTGATCTTCCTGAGCGCCCATATCCACCATCCGTCGCGTCTTGGGATCATATTTCGCCGAGTCAAGATCGAGGTTGAGCAAGTATTTCGCAGTGTCTTCTCGGATACGTAGATTGCGGGTAGCCGTGCTTTGCTGTCTTCCCATATCAGATTCTTCAGCATACCGTGCCTCCTCTTCCGCACCTTCTTCCTCATCTTCACCATCTGCGATCTTTTTTTGCCCAGTTATCCGTTTAAGCTTTTCAAGCTCTTCATACTCTTCTACCACCTGACGATATTCGCTGGCATCGTAGCCGTTCCATCGATCTCTTTTGGCATCCCATCCCATATCAACGTTCTGCACCACCTCGTCGGCCTGAATATCTTTACCAGTCCACTTCGCACCCTGCTTCCGAGGCCGACTAAGGCACTCCTTTGTTTTGTGGGTCATCGCGCCACAGTTCTCACATGCGCCTTTCCGATACTTGGTCGCAGCTGGACC